TCCTTCCCTGAGAATTCAAAGTATTTTTCAAATATTAATTAAGATCTGAATAACTACAAACAATTAGGAAGTCCAAGGTTAAGGAAGAAGTCTGTGGCACAGGAAGGAAGTCATACTAGATTTCTTGCCTCAAAGACTTATTCCTTAAAACTGTTCCTCTAAGAGATTGATAGCAATTGGTCTCCATGGAACCATGACACCATTTAATGAATCATGCAACAGGAAAAGCCTATCTCTGAAAAAATTTCTTTCCTGTTTCAGTAGTATACTTGTAATGTACAGTGACAGGAGAAGATCGGAAAAAAGGGACAGTTCTCTTGAGTGGCTTGATTAATTAACATAGATTGCCTGAATTCAGTCCAAGAAATCTATGCCAGAGGAAGCCTGTACTGCCTTTCCTAACTGAGCTTGGATCAGTCCCCCAAACACTTTATCTCACAGCACTGAAGGAAGTCATGAAGGCAGATATAATACTGCCCTTTCTAAGTAATAAAGAGACACTCAATGTAGATCATGGGCCAAAGGACAGAAGTAATGTTTACTAACTCAGGAAATGGGGATGAGAAGAACATACAATAGGAATATGATCAAAACTAAGAATAGGTGTTTTGTCTGGAATAGGTGTTTCATCTGATTTCCACAGATACATTGTTTCCTATTCAGGTAGAGATGATTCCAAAGTGTAGGCTTATATCCAAATCTCAATTTGCTAAGGTTTAGAAGTGGTCAGAAATGGGATTTATTTCACAAAAGGTTCCTTCTAGTAATTAAACAATTAATAAAGTAAATTCTATGAGATTTAGTCTGTTAGGCAGAGTGGAATGCATGTTTTTTTATCATATTATAAATACTTTGACTATAAAACACAACTGGCAACTTTTAAAAGTCAACACTGGATCCTGGATAACGCAAATGTTGAGAGGACTTTTATTTGAGTTTTCTAAACCAGATATACAATATATGATAATGGAAAAGGCTTGGGAAAGATTGCATCATACCCATTAGCTTTTTCTACAAAATCAAAATGGGTAGGTATCCATTATGCTCAACATTGCAATTCAGAATGAATTACTCAGTGGTTCCCGGAAACCCACATGCCACTGCTTTTTGGAAAAGTCCATTACTCTTTGGCAGAGGAGTTCAGGATTATTCCAGATGCTAAAGGTTCTTGAAATTTTGTCCTTTCATTTAACTGTATTGTCTCTGTGCCATCCAGCACCATCTGCAATCTGGCGCTCTATAAAACATCACTCCTCTATCATTTCTGGCCCTCAGAAGTACTTTTTGTGGTCTACATTTCTCATTTTCTAAAAAATATGCTGTTTCTCTTCCAGATCTCCACTGACAGGGCTAAGCACAATAAAGATGAGCGAGGAAATGCTGAGGTTAATCACAGAATCAGAACATGATCCAAGTTGGAAGGGACATCAGAAGTTCTGCAGTCCAACCTCCTCCTGCTCTGAGCTCAGACCAGGTTGCTCAGGGCTTTATCCAGGAGTTTCTTGAAAGCCTCCAAGGGCGGACCTGGCACAACCTCTCTGGACAACCTGCTTCACTGCCTGACAGTCCTCACGGTGAAAAGTATCTCCTTACATCCAGTCTCTTGTTTCAACTTATGTCCATTGTCTCTCATCCTCCCACCGTGCAACACTATAAAGAGCCTGGCTTTGTCTCCTTAATGTCCTCCCCAGAGGCCCTGGGAGGCTGCTATCAAGGCCCTGAAGCCTTCCTTTCTCCGGGCTGAATAAGCCCTTGTCCCTCAGCCTCTCCTCACAAGGCAACTTGCTCCAGCCCCCAACCTCTTGGGGACCCTTCCCTGAACTAATGATCATCAAGCTGACCTCAGAGGTGGAGCCATAACAGCCTCATGAGTGCAGTCCTGCAATCTGATGGATTAGTCCTGCAAAGAATAATGAGTGCAGCCCAGCGCCCTGCTTCTGTGACTCAAGCGAGGCTTTCTCACTGTACTGCATGATGTTCTTTGTCCACGCCTCCATGCCTGAAATCAGGTTTAGAATCATTATGCAACATGAACAGGCTGAATGGAATATGTGAAAAATTACACTAATGAAATCAATCAGCTACCACAGAATCATACTTTTATTAAAAATGGTCTTTCAGCCCTTTATATAGTCACTCTTTAGTCAGACTGAATGAACTCCCCCTTTTTCACATCTACCCTTGACTCTAACAACTATCCTAGTAATACCAGTGTATATACGCAAAGACATTTTTCAATGAATACTAGAAGCAAAGGAAAACCAAAATACTAGGTCTATATTTCTTCTCACAACAGTAGACATTTTGAAAAGAAAAGGAATCGAAATATATATGTAAGAATGTCACCTCTTTTACTCCAGAACCACTAGGTACCTTAGGGTCTGCCTGCCTTCAGTCATTGGCACGCAGTATATTTCAGGCTGGGAATTAAAAAAAAGAGGAAGGGGGAAAGCATTGACTAGGTGTGGAAGGAACCCAATTCAGTAACCGTATAAGGAGTATTCAAAACATATTTAAGGGAAAGGGAGGTATGAATCACCAAGTCCAATGTTAAAAATGTAGCCAACATTAAAGTCAATGGTGAAATCCCTCAGAATTTCAACAGAGGCAGAGCCTGCAAGTGAGGATTTATATACAGATTTGAACCCACTCCCAAAGTGGGGATATGCCTGGAGAAAGGACTAGTCCAAACCAATATAATAGAGACAGAGGCCAACTGTGATACTCGGAGCTGAAGTCTGCCAGCATGCTTGCATTCAATAAGTGTATGTTGTTGAACTCACAACTTTACTTGGCAGCACAAAGTCTGACCTCTGTCAAGAGCCTCAAGTGTGATGTCCAATTCAATTACTAAAAGACACATTAAAATCTGGCTTATATGGATAAGAAATAACATTCACCCAGTTTATCCTGGGATCACAGTCTCCCCAGTGTCTTCACAGAGACATTTTTTCTCTATTCAGTTCCAACACCCACATTAATGTCTTTATTAAACAACTCTGAGCCAGAAACAGAGCTTAATAAAGCTGTTCTGTACCTAATATTTGAATATAATCACACTGAAAACAGTTTGTTACTATTTTAAATAGTCACTGAGAAATTACTTATCTACTGGAGGTCTTCTCCACACACTTTTCCCTGTACTCTACATCATTGACCAGGACAACTCCAGGATGCTACCATTATCTGCCATAAACAGTAGCCAAACTCCTTATGCACTCTAATTTTGGGATAGAGTAATGCAGTGTCTTTCTACCCATATCAATAGGCCCATTCTGCTCACACTGAATGAATATCCTTCCCTCCCTTGTCCCTCCCCTCCCTATCCTTCCATGCTAGGAAAGGAAGGAATTCTCCTTTTCCTGCTCAAATGTCCAATAATCATTTCAGCCATCTGCTTCAATACAACAAGCTCTTCATAGAAGTCCATCTAAATGGCAAACCATTAGAGATTAAGATGATTTATTTCAGTTAGTGCACTGTCACTGGTTTGGAGTTTTAATAAAATAAAAAATAACTAAGGATTTGGGAAGTACTGTGGCTTACCTATGTAAAAACTCGCTCTCTTGCCAATACTCTCTATCGCTGCTGACAGACATTAGAACATTCCTTTCATCTCCTTCCTCTTCTTGCAGTTTAACCTATCCCCTTAAGGAGTATTTGCTTTCTCTAAGATAGATTATGCATTGTATGCAACATGGAAACCTTACACACTTTTTCTGCCATCTGCAAGGCTTTTCTACCCACTTCTTTAAAAAGAATTACATCATCACCCTTGTTAGTTTCCATTTTGGATAAATAAACCAGGATTATTTTTTTGTTAGAATCTAAAGCATAAGGATTACTATTTCCAGATATGTGCATCTAAATTAGAAAAGCATTTTTGAATACCCTCAACCAACCCAAATGTGGAATGCAAACTGTGATAAAGAGGCACACACATACACACACACAAAACACCCCCTCTTATTCATGCAGAAAACATGATCTAATCTGGGATTGATTTCTTTCAAATAATTCTTTCTGCATCCCAGTGTGATTCCAGGATGTGCAAATTAAGATAAATTTTATGGGTTAAATTCTTCTTACCACTACATGTGCTCAAGTCAACTGAAATTGATGACAACTGGATGCTGTGTCAGAGGGCGGAATTTGGCACAGACAGTCACTATGTAAGGAGAAGATGTTATAAAAATAAAACTGACATGGTGCTCTCAGTGAAGGAGGAAATAATTCTCCATGTGGCTTGGGAGAGAGAAAAGCACAAAGAAGCAGAAAAAGTTGACCAAATAGCTCGTAGAGAATCAGGTAAGGCTCAGTGGTCAAAATAGAGCCAAATGTGAGGCTCTGAATGAGGATTCTCTTAATAGCGCTGGACAAACCTACCTCCATTCCTGGACTAACTATGACTACAACTGACTCCAATGGAAGCATAGCTGCACCAGTTCTAAGTCCTGATCCACTAAGAGCTTAAAAGAGGAGAGACTGGTTTATTACTTCTGTATTCTTCAGAAATTCAAAACAGCTACTTAAGACTCCAAGCCTTATGTCTCATTTCATTAAACAAAATACCGCGAAGAATCCTTCAGTACGAACTTCCCTTCTCTTTCTATTTTTTCTATTTTTACAACAGAAATGTCCCCAGAAGAAGTCAATGAACTTTCAAAATAGACCTAAATCAAAAACAGACTCACATATTCATGTAGACGATTTAGCAGTAATATTTCTAGCAGTGGGAGTTTGCAAATATTATCAAATCCACGTTCATGTTTTGTGACAACTGACCGATGAAAACCAGAAGCTATTCCAATGCACATTTTAACCCATTTTTCTGCTACTGGAACGAATATGAGCATAAATGTCCTCTTGGTTAAACTTTTGTTCATTTGAGTGAAATGTGAAGATGTGTCATGTCCTCAGCTGAGTTCCAGAACTACTCAGGATGTCATTTAGCATTTAGCTTCAAGTTCCATTAAAAAAAAAAAAATTAAAAGACTAACCTGGAACAGCTATCCTCCCAGCAGTTGGATGAGTCATTTCCATGACAAGTCCATTGTGCAGCACCTACAAAAACCCCAAAATATGTATGTAAGCAAGTAATGTAACCAATCCTTACATACAAGAGGAAAGCAGAACAGCGAAACATTACCATGTTCCTTCACAGAAAATAAGAAAATACAGGCAGCTGGCATTCAAGTAATTTGGTTTCTTTATAAAATGAACGCCCTGATGTTTGATGCCTACTCTCTATTTATGCATATAAATAAATGCCTCAGTAAGACTTCACATATTTAACATATCTCTAAGCTCCTGAATCAACATCAGACACAAACAACTGAACTGCAAGCATGTCATGCTTTCAACCACAAACAGACAACTGGTACTAACACAGAATGAGAGCTAAAATTTTCACCTACTTTCATTTTTAATCTACAACATGACATTAAAGGTCTATATAGAGCTTACGCGCTCTAGTTTTCTTCACTGTTACTCAGCTGCTTTTGAATGTGCAATGGATCACACAATGTCTTCCTAGTAGCTCTCATGAACATTCAGGAAAGACACCATGGTTTTGATGTTATTTCTGTTCTTTTGAAAGGGTATGTCATAACTCAGAACTGCATATAACTGTACAGAGTGATTATTCATCACAATTTCCACTTTTTTCTTATTATCCTTAACCAAAAAACAAATGTATAATACAACATTCTGAAGGAGCAAAAGCTAATTCATTGCTATTATTAATTAGCTGTGTTCTTCCTAAATCTGGATCCAAAGTCAATATGCATTTTTCTTGGTTTCCTTATCTATTATTCTGTCATCCATCTGACACTGTTATCGTAATCACATAATCAGAATTTTTGGTCATTATTTCGTTGTTGAAGTATCATATAAAGATAAGAAGCCGCCCATTAGCCAATTATTTTAATTTCCAATGTAACAACCAGCCTGAAATAAAACAGTGTACCTTGCCAGTGGCATCAGTTATAAAAAACGAAAGACGGAGAAAGACTCGTAAGCAATCACCTAACCCATCTACCTATTCATCTAGCATCATGAAAAAGGTTTGCTACCCAGATTATTAGTGACAGGTGTTGGTCTAACTATTCTTGAAAATTTCCAGTAAACGAGATGACAAATTTCTTACGTAGTCTGTATCCATATTTTCTATTCTTATCTTCAGAAATTTTTCTCCTAGTACATAATCTAAATATCTTTGCTTTATATTAAACATCTTTCTTCTTGTCTTTTCCCCAACTGGACACAGAAAACTGATCACTAGCATCCTTATAACATTCTTTTACATACTGGAAGATTGTAATCACATCCTCCCTCAGTCTGCTCTTTTCTAGACTAAACAAATCTAATTCCTTTAACCATTCTTTGCAGGCCAGATTTTATGAACCTTTTATCTGTACAGAAGAGCATGCTTGAGAAATTCCCATTCCTGAACAGGTGGTGTCAAAAGGTCAGGTCAGCTTTCTCTTAGCTTGTGGGGTGAATCTATTTAACTGACATTTAGAAATTCAGATACTTCTGATAAAAGATGCTGGTGAAGGAAAGTCTGTTCACTGGTCTAAGTTTGGCACTGTACCAAATCTTTTGTTCTAACTCTCTTTCAGAAGGTTAAAGCCAAGTTTGGTAGACGTTCACTGGGACATTCAGAATTTTTTTTTTTTTTCAAATGATAGAATTGGAAAATATAATTGCTTGTTTTAACTCATATTTAGGATCTTTCCAATTATTCCTTTAATCAGTCTTGAAACTTTGGCCTTCTTTTTCCATAGCTCATTTATACAGTCCTTCCTTTTCAATTTTATTAATTATTTAATTATTAATTACAACCTGCATGCAAGAAAACATGCATATTTGGACTTGAAACCAATAAGGTCACTCAGGTGCTTATGCACTTCTTTAGATGACAAATTAAATGCTGTGCCTAAAAGTGGCACCATTTGGTTAAAAAACCCCACATATTCTCTAAGAACTAATCAGGGCTCCACAATTTTTATGAATGTGGGTTTGGCATTTCTAAATTTTATTCTGACAATGCAGGCTTATCTGCATCTCAAATCTCAAAGACTTCCCTTTATTAGACTCAAATTCCATGTTCCTTTTCTTTACAGAATGAACTAAGAAAAACCTTCAGTATCTTTAATCTAAGGATCATCAGTCTAACTTCTATTCTCTTTTAAAAAAGAATTGCCTAAGATGCAGTCAAATTTCCTTTCCATTTTCATGAAAGTATGGTGTTGATTTTCCCTCCCAGATACCTTATTTTTTCCAAAGCACTGGAATTCCTATTACTCTTAGGTTTACTTTCCACAGTTATTCATTCTATACTGGTATACTCAAGTCCATCTTTTCTTTGGACAGGTTCAATGCTTATAATTTAGCCCCTAAGCAATGGATTTGGTCACTCACTGATTTTTTTTTCCCATATCAGTGATATTGTTTTAAAGAACCATGTAATCTTCTGTTTCATGTGTTTGATTATTAGGATTCTCAAAAAGAAACTGGAAAATCTTCACTGACTCCTCCTTCTGTGCGTTCTAACAGTTCTGAAGGAAACACATATGATTACTGAACCCGAACCTTTGGAAGAAGTCAACATTTACATTCATTATTATCAGTTTGGAGAAATACTGAGATAGGAATTGAAGGTCGTCTTCTCCCATTGTCTTGTACCCCTCACATGATCATGACCCTTCTGATGTGGTGGAGCCCTCTATCCCCTTTACATTCACTGTAGCTCAGGATAGGGAACTGATGAATCAAAATCATCATACAAGGATGGTGGCCATCAGTAGATCAATTTTTTGTAATTATTTTTTCCATATGGTTCATTTTCCAGGCTAGAAATATTCTATTACTGCATTTTCTATTATCTTTTGAGATTTCATGAATCAAACTGGTGTTTGGGTGACGTTCTACGCTGATTACAATTAGATCATTGTATGCGAATCAAAAGTACAGTCTTTCGTCTTTCAGTAATAACCTTTTCGTGCCATTTCATTTTAATCAAAATACAGCCATCTTCTAAATTGAAAGAAGAATCTCTCTTGTCTGTCTAATGGTTAATGAAAAGAAAACCTAATCACACCATTTTTAAACTTATGTCAATGACAGCACTAGCTGTCTTGTCCCACTGCAACATTCAAAGAAAGACTTCTTTTTTTCCTGTTCATACCGTTTATGCCTTTCCGACTGACTCTTAGCACTATAAAGAAAAAGTTTGTCTCATTTTCAAGAAAGAAAAGTTTATACAACAGAAAACAGTCAAAAAATTCTCTGCATCCTTCAGACTTCAATACAAGATGTGACTTCTCTGAACTGTCATGTTAGCAGCACTCCTCCATCAACTTTTTTGCTAAATAATCTTTTTTTTTGCTCCTGTGTTTTCTTGCAGGCTGAACTTGTATATATTACATATTATATATATATGTAATGCAAAAAATATGTAATTCTCTATCAATACTTGCTACAATTCTACTTTGGGACTGATAACTTATTGCATATGTGGGTAGTATCAGACTTGCCATATTAAGAAATGAAAGTATCGTTTAGTGGTGGATAACAATAACAGAAGTCACTACAATTTAATGTTATTTCATAAGTATAGATTATTGCATGACTACTTAAACTATAGCAGACAGAACAAATCATATGATTTTGTCTTTTAAGCTCAAAGAACAAAAGAATTTAATTACACTTTTATTTCAATAGTATTTTCCCAATACTATAGGAAAGCAAGTCCACACAGAATCTTTTAGGCAAAGAGCTTAATATTTTATTTGTGTAATGTAAACCAAGGGTAATTTAATATATTTCATCATGTGTATTCTCAGTTGTTTCATTGTTTCTCTTAGCTTGTCATGAGAACAACTATGGGGGATACTTATATCAGCTGCTATGAAGCTCAAAGTAATCCAGATATAATAACATTAATGATTAATTTTCCCCAATGTTATTACTAACTATAAGTTAGAGTAGCTAAAATTTTTATAACAGCCAGAGTTATAATCCCCTAACCATCTGCTTTCATAAGAAGATTCAAATACTAACTCAACTCTAGTTTTTTCTTGTAGTCTCACCTTGTTCAAAACAATTACTTCAATTGACATTACTTTTCTGCATTAATACTTGTTACTAGCAAGCATGTTCATTTCAACATTTTAATTTTTTGTTGCTGTACTTGCATCTCACTTAAAAACTAACTGACATATAAGGCAGAAAATGAGAATAAAACTAAGTTTCAAAGAAATGCAATTATGAAATAAGATAGAATATGGCTACAGATTTGATCTTCATATGAAAGAATTGTAAAGTTCAAAATCTAGATTCAAATAGGAGCTTTATCTTTGACCTCTTGAGAGTTAAGGCACTTCCTTACAAGATCATATAGTACATACAGTGGTGTAGGATACTTCTTCAACTTTCACAGACCATTCAATGAAAAAAAAAAAAACCTTTTATGCTGCTATGACTGTATTACTGTTCCTTAAGATAGTAAGATATATAGACCATTAACGCAATAGTAGTTTTCTTTGGGATGTATGTCTGTATCTGTCTATTTACCTATTTAAAGCACACTTAATAAAACTATATATTATTAATACATAAAAGCAGCTCATTGCAACTGTAATGTTAAGTGCTTATGCAGGTAACTGACTATCCATGGCAACGTGGTTTCTCAGAACTACCAGCAAGGTTTCAAATGCATTTTAGCCAATTACTACCTACGTTACTTACTACCCAACCAACTTCCAAAATCCAGTTGCACGATTCAGAAAGATATCAAACATGATACCAGCCAGAAAAAAAGTTTTAAAAGTCCTATTTAACATAGAGATATGCATCCCATATACGAGTTTGCACAAATACCACTCTTAAATTTTCATCTAAAGTTTAGCGGAAGGGATTTTCATGGCCACAAAGGAAATGATGTAACCCTCTTTTCCATATTTCTGTAGCCACAAGATAGCTGGCTGTTGGTAAGTGTAATTACCACTCGTGCCTCCAAACCACAAAAAAAATAATAATGCTGTTTTTCTTGTATGCTC